CAAAAAAAAAAAAAAAAAAAGAGTACTGGTTTAGCCCAAGACTGTGGTAGTATTAACTTTTTTTTTTAATTTAATTTTATTTTTTTATAATTATAGTATAAATTAATTTTGGTACGAAAACTTTTTGAAATGTATACATAGTTTTTCCATTACATGTATTCCCATGAGTTTTTTTTTTCTGAAACATTTTTAATTAATTAATAAGCATTTAGCTTTTGATCTGAATTAATTCAGCCTGTGGGCACTGAAAAGGCTGTGCTGGTAGCCAGCTAAAATCTCTTGTTTTTATATGTACTACTAGTGAGCCAGATCCCCTATCATAAACCTTATTGCTGGATGTTTGTTCCCAAGGGAGGATTTGGCACTTATTCTTTTTTTTTTTTTTCCCCAATTTGCCAGGGAGTATGTATGCACTCACTGGAGAGAGACAGAGAGAGAGAGAAGGAAAGTGAGAAAGCCCCCCACAACACACACACACACACACACGCAAGAGATGGTCTTGACCCAATCCTTTCTCCTCCACCTCTTCTTTAGGGATTTTGCACATGCATGTACACACACCCAGCATGTCTTTCAAGCCACTGGGTCTGGGACTTGAACCACCCTGTAAATTGTGTAGGACCCACCTGTCTTAACCACCACACTACCAACTGGCCTTGGCATTTATTCTTGTTAACTAGATTCATCCCTTCACTTTACTCTGGTGTTCGAATATTTGCTCTCTCCTTCTCCTGCCTTTCATTTGAAGGAGGGAAGACAAACAGGCCAAACTGGGCCATGATGGGGATGTGTTTGACATTCTAAGTGTGCCTGCTGCTTTGAAATGGAAACTTTTTGCTGTGTATCCAGGATGTATCAGGAACTTTTTAAAAAATAGCTCTACAAGGGCCCTTTAAGATAGGTTTTATTCCCGATTTACAAAGAAGTCTGCATTGTTCTTTGATATTGAGCATGGTAACTATAACTATGCACTCCCTCTCCCCCCTTGGTTGCTCAATATTGTTTTGTATACACTTTGTCATGTTAATTCACATTTTCCTTTTTTTTTTTTTTTTTTTTGCTTTATAAATAGTCTCCCCTTGTTCTGAAATGAATTTGAGTCACTTCTGTCCTGATGGTTATTGTTTTAACAGTTGTATAACATCCCATTAAATCACTCTATCATAATTTATTTCACCCATTTCCTACTGGTGACAGGTTGACTTTGTTTGCTTTCTGTGGCTTTTAAACTTGTTATTTTTTGTAATAAATAATCCTGCTACAAACATCTACATGCGAGTATTATCTTGTTCTGGAAATTTCCCCAAGCAGGCATTACCACATTAAAGGGGATAATGGGTTTTGCGGTTCTTTTATAGAGACTAGCAAATTGCCCACCCAAGAGTATGCTTTATTAAAGAGGAAAAAAAGGAAAAAGTTGTTTTTCTACATAAAAAAATAATTTTCCACTTAATTCAGAAAATATTTGAGTGCCATGATGGGTGACAGGCGCAGTGCTAGGGGCAGGAATGAGTAAGGCCGGGTGTGCAGGCCTTCAAAGAGGCTTCTATGGAGTCCGGTAGAGGAGGCGCCACCACCGCTGCAGCCTCCAGCCCAGGTCCTGGGACTGCTCGCCTTTCCCGAAGGAGAGTGGAAGGATGGAGCTGTTTGCAGGCACCAGGGTAGGTCTCCCAGCCTAGGCCATGCTTGAACCTCGCAGAGTAAGTTTGGACATGGAGTTTATATTTACTTTACTGTGAATATCTGGTCTTACATTTGAAAAAAAAAAAATGTATCCCACCATTGAAAAAGAGAATGTTGATAGGGTCAAAAGCCCTGATGTCTGAAGCCTCTTTCCGTCTCCAAGGAGGAGGAAAGAAGAGGGTCTCCCCCACTTCAGGAGCAGATCTAAGAGCTAGGAATCCCTGACCTTGCACCAAAGGGGCAGGAGGTGAGGGGGGGGTCTCCAGCGCTGGAGTGGCGGTCCCGGGGTGCACACCCGACGCGTGGCCCCCGAAGAAGCGAAGAAGAAGCGCCCTCTCCTCCGGAGCCCGTTCCGCTGGTCTGGGCTAGGGAGACGGCGAGGGAAGCCGAGCTGCCTGGGGCGGGTGGTTAGAGGGCAGCCCTCGAGTGGTCTCCGAGAGAACTGGACTCGCTGGTCCAGGACCCCGAGGAGCCGGCGGGCGGGGTGCGGGAGAGGGGCGGAGCTCCGGGGCCGCGGCCGCTGCGGCCGCCCAGAGGGTCTGCGGGGCTGACCCGGTCGGACCCGAGGGCCGGCGCGCGGGGCGCAGGCG